GCGTGCGTGCGTGCGCGTGTGCGTGCTTGCGCGTGCGTGCACGTGTGCGTGTGCTTCTCCGACAGGGCGATTACTACCAGTACGAGTACGTCGCCCAGACCCTCACGGGCCTGCCCCTGAACACCACGGATCTTGTCCAGGGCCTTCACGTGAGTTGAGTTGTGGGCTTAGGTGCCATTTGTGGCTTTGGCTTTGAGAACGGGGGCTCCTCAACGCAAGAGCATATCAAGACATTTCAGGAGCACAGCACCGAGACCCACCACTGCCTTGTCATTGTCCCCGGCGGCTTTCTGCCCCGCCTCGAGGATCAACTTATAGACCTCAGTGATGTGTGTTTCGTGTAGCCTACTTCAGTTCAGTGTGAAGAGCAGATGCCAGACATGTGAAAATAGTAATGAAATCTGAATGAAACCTCTGCTTTCGTTGCATTCGCCGCGGGCCTTCTGGAAAGAAGTGATGTTCTCAACCGCCTCGCCCTTCCTCATATCTGCCTCCTGGGCACCGCGGAAAGGAAGAAGCCCCCAAGACCTAAACCACTTCGGATCGCCTCTCGAAGATCCTTGGCGACCTTCTGGCCCTAACAAAGCAAAAAATGACAACGGCTCTGAGACTCGTTAAAATGCCCCGGAAGAACTTTGTCAAAACATCCCAGCCTTCAGCTTGGCCTCGATGATCTCTTTCTCCTTCTCCCGTATCTTCTTTTGGAAACTGGGCCAATATGAGGATGGGCACTCGAGAGAGACTCGAACAATGGGAGGAGATGCGAGGCTGAGAGCTCGGCTCGTCACGCTGCCTCGAAATGTCCCGCTGCAGCCTGTCAACCTGATGGCGACTTTCGCGCTCCGATGCCAGCAAGATCCAGCAAGCATGTGCAAAAGCCGAATTGCGAAAAAGTCCACCTGCACAGTTCTGCTGCAGCGCGCGCTTTCTAGTTTTCGATAGCCAAACCCCTCACTGCGAGGGTGCGTCTGAGTAGCGACGGCCCAGTATGAGACTAAAGACACCGACTAGCGGACTAGCGGCAGCTCACACACTGAGGCCTCACTTGCCAGACGTTCCCAAATGTAGCCTCCCCTCCGAGCCCTGAGAATATCTCTCAGGATGACTTTGGACTCAGAAGCTGAAGCTTTACAAGTGAAACACCCGGGTCGCGCTGGATCCGGGGTTGATTCCAGCTAACTACGCTGTCACAGACACGCTGTCACAGGCCCTATGCTACGCGTTCAGACGGACTGCATCGCCGACAGGGGTCGTGTCACAAGTGGACTTAGCTCACAGAGACGCTGAAGCGAGAGACCCTTGCTGGAGAAGCCGCAGACCAGAATGCCCTGCCGGACCTCTCTTCTCCCGTCAACCACCACTCGGGTATAGCATGCGTGGATCATGCCGTCTACCCTGGCTCTGGTCTTGCACCCCTACATGGGCCTGAAACAATCCCAAAGCTTATCAAAAACACGACCCACCAACAACAAAAGCACTATGGCAGGCGAGCGGCAGCTGCAGAAAAAGATGAATGCAGCTCATTCATCTCGGCTGCCTCTCGGGAAAGTCGACAGTTAGTGACCCTGCTTTCCCCCATCGCCCCTTCAACGAGGCTTTATCGGGGCATGAGCTCTTGCGGATAAAGTTTCAAAGCCTATAGGTACCTGTAACATAGAAGAAGTAGCTGAGGCGGAAAGGGCCCTCCAAGACTGCAACAATGCATGTGCCACAGCTACTGTACAGCCACATGGAAGAGCTACTCAACCAGGTCCGGCTTGCAAGGCAAGTATGTCTTGCGAAGGCCTTGACACTCAAACCAATTAGCTCCAGCTCCAGCTCATCTTTCACCTCATCGCAGAGCGCGGAAAATGCACTGCATGGGGTGATGAGTTGGGTCTCCGTTGCCGGGGTATCAGGTTGATGCTGTGCCGCTGTGCGCCGAGCCCGCAAGTAGTGCCGGATGACAGCCGCCCTACCTGCAACGATCCACAGAACAAAAGGCCCCTTGGCAAGGTTTTGGAAGCCTTTGGAAAGCGCGGAGCTCAACGGCGCTCCTCCATTGCTGATTCGGCTCGTCAGGGACCGTATCTGCACCCGCAGTAATCTCTGCTGGGAGGCTCCACTGGCCTGGGAGTCCTCAGCGACGCTGAGGCCTTTGTGAGATTGTGAGCCCCTGATTAGGAGTCTGTGTGTGTGAGCCCATGAGGGCCTGCCGGACAGAGTCGAAACCTTTCGGACCCAAAGCTGCGCACTCTGAGTGCAAAGAAGCGAGAACGACACCAGTCCACACCAGCCGACACACGTCCTCATGCCTACTAGGTGGCCGAAACAAACGCTTCCAAAAGAAGGGCGAAGTTGGTCTGAAGGTCTGCATTACCCTTTCTTTCGACGAGCATCTGTAGGGAGAACCTTCATCTCGTACTCGTCTTGGTCGGGATCTAGTGCCAAGGCACCCTCTCCACGCCTCCTCGGCACCACGTCCTGCAGCAGCCGTTCTCAGGACCGGCACAGGGGCGCTTGATGCAACTGAGGCGGCGTCCTCATCATCGCTGCTGTCGCAAGCAGACCTGCCCCAAGGCGCGCAAGTGCGCGCAGAACGGAAGCCGAGTGCCCGAACCGAAGCCCAGGCCTGAAGGACTCGCCCGAGGAGTCAAAGAGGGGTATTTCGCACAGCGACCAGAAGGAGGGACTCGAGGAAAGCGGCTTCAGCGAGGCCGCGGAGGTCGAGGGCACCCCCATGTGTCGTCGGCATGCGCTTAAAGGTCGGGCTTCGGACTGCATCTTTGAAGAGCCGATGGAAAAATCCCTGCGGAAGGCGCGTGCATCTTCTTCCCAAGTTCCGACAAAGGCCAACTCCCAGCTCAGCAAGCCATCTACATCAGCATGAAGTTGCATGCTTGCGCGCTTGGGATCTTGGATGCTGGCCTCCTCCCGCAATGGCTCCACAAGGCCCGTGTGCACGAGGTCCAGCAAAGCCACCCGCCACCTGGGAGCAAGGAAATCCATGGCCTCCAGCGTAACGAACAGGACGGGCGCCCAGCTCATATGCGTTGTGGCAGAGGCCATCCGAAGTCTCCTCCGCTGCGTGAAGCACCTCCAAAACACGCTTCGAGAAGACCCGAAGGCCCTGCCCTCGACCTCTTCTAGGTGCCTTTGCATGCTGCCGCGCTAGCCTCTCTGCTTCTGACACCTGGATCAGAAGCTCAGCAATGTCACGGAGGTTTCAAGGGTCACGTCGCACCGTCGCCTCCAAGGACCGGGACACAGCCTGAGAACACGCAGATGCTAGCACTCCGACCGAAAGAGGATGTGATGCACACGCAGGAGGCGTCTGACCGCGGGGCTGCGAATTCGCTATTCCGGGAGCTGTCATGCCAGCATATGCCAGCAGTGTAGTCACTCGCGATCTACGAGTCTGATTGCTGGTGGCACCATTCCTCTGTGCATGAACATCGGCCTCCCTTCCAGGTTTAGCTTGCACTTTTTGCAACTCTGCAGCTGCTTGCTTTCTTGCTTTGCAGGTTCTCGCTATGAAAAAGTCCGACAAACCGTCACGCAAGGAGTACAAAATGCTGTGATTCCTGCCGACGCACTTGAAAGTGGGCGCTCGGGCGGAGAAGCAGGCACCTGCCGCGGCTCTTACGCTGCTTGCATTCCTTTATGTTGCTCTAGTGACTCTAGTATCCCCAAGTAAGTTGCGGCCGCTCATGGCGCTACAGAGGTTCATATCAGAATCGTGTGGACAACACCCATGTCCACCTCCAGCATGGTCGTCTCTGCGGGAACTTGTCCTGCTGGAGGCGCCTCTGGCAAGTCCGCCTCGCCTAAAACATAGTCGGCTTTGCATCAAAAGTACTTTATCAGTGCTCCTCGTGTTGCCCGAAGGTGGCCCAAGTGCGACTGAGGCGGCGACCGGCAGAGCTGGAGAGCTCTTCGACCACCCTGCGTTCAACATCTTAGCGGCTTCTTGGGTGTGTTCGAGATTTTTCCCGGGATGTCGGAAAATGTGCGGGCCTGGTCGGCTCGCTGACCCACTGTGCTTCCGTGTCGCCATCGCGAAAGAGCAACCTGATGACCGGTCAGAAAAGCCACGAAAGATTTTTCGCAGATCGAAACGTGGCTTTAATGCAGCTGGGGCACTGGGAAATGTGCCGGCGAGCCTGCACTGTGACAGCAAAGTGCAAATCACACATCGCAGCGCTGGAGGCGAGTAAGCATTGTCACAGCACTGGAACAGTCTGCAAATATGAATACCGCTTCTCTGAAACAGCTGTGCCTCACTGGTGGCAAAGGCTTGCATGCGCGGCTCCAGATCCTGAAGGCAGAGGGTGCTGGAAGGTGCTTGGCATGCAGCTCCAAGAGTCCATGGCTTTGCATGGCAGGACGTAGGCGTAACTAGCAAACCCCATGAGCCTCCAAGACGCTTGAGAACTGTTGCAACTGGTCTTTGAAGGCTGCCTGCAGAATTGCGCATGATAAACCCTTGCATGCGAACGGTGACACCTAAATGTCGACGTGCACGCGCTCGAACGAGTTTGCCAGAACGTTCTCCGCCCCGCATGTCGACCGAAAAAGCAAAGCCGATGCTAAGTGTCGTGACCGCCGATTAAAGTCTTGAAAGAGGCAATCCTCTCACCGCAGAGAAAGCACGTGCGGGGAGACGATCCACGAGCGCAATAAAATAGGGAAAGCCACGACTGCTACCGTAATGGTTGCAGTTGCAATCTGTGCTCGGACTCGAAACGAAACTAGTGCACAGGCTACACCAAATTCCAACTTGATGCTAATGGGCAACTTCAAGAACATGACTGGCACAGGATCAGGCAAAACCAAACCACAGCGAGAAAGAAAGAGGAAACTGCTTTAAATGGCCTTATCTTGCCGACTTCGGTCAGCAGAGCAGTGCCGAACGCTGCTTCAGCACAGTCTGTGACTTGAACTTTTGTCGTCTTTTCCTCTGTGCCAGTGATTGTGCCTTCAAACTGCCCCTCTAAATCTGAATATCCACTCTTTCATCCGCAATGACAATGACGTTCTGCGCCTAATGATGCTTTCGAAAGCCTGTGGCCGTATGGGATACCATCACAACACATACTTCTGATATCTGGCCAGTCACAACATGCAATTTCCCAGCCTTTGCAAACTCCGATCCCGAAGCTTAGGCCCCTTTCCTTCAACCCCAATGGCATCTGATTTCTTGGAAGCATTCGGAGATGAAAAGTCACTTCTTCCGAGCCATTGCCATGAACAGGTGCACGCGCACGCGAGCACTCATGTTGAGATTCGACACGTCACTGTACGCCTATATGGCCTGAACGTGCGCACCCCTGAGGAAGAATGATCAACAAATCACAAACAGACATACAAGGCTGCCCAATGCGCAATCTTTGCGCACGTTGCCTCGGCGAAGCCGCGGTCCGAGCGCTCCTCCTCCAAAGTGGCCTCCAATTGCCTGTACTTGTCCTGACATGGCCAAAAGTCTTTCATTCAATCAGACCTGCAGGGTCGCCAGGGCTGCTACTTCTGGCTCAAAACCTATTTGCATCAGCGCCCCGCCGTGCCACGCCACTCCGCGCTTCCCTCTGACTTTTCTGGGGCACAGTCCAGCCAGTCCTCCAGCTCGCCAAACCGAATCCACTTGGCTTCGTCAGCTTGGCGGGCACCTTTCCAATGAGAGCACTCGTTCCAGAACAGAAGCTGTCCATGCTCAGGTGTGTCGGACAGCCTTCCATGGCTTGCTTCAACGCGTTCGTGTTCGCATCCTCCTGGATGCAGCAGGTGCCCATGGCACAGTAGCCTCTAGTAGTGAGCTTACCCAAAGCAACGCCGTTCATTGTCATAAATGGCTTAGCACCTTCCTTAGGTTGGCATAGGTTGCAAAACGGGCATCTTACTCTGAGGCGAACAGAAGCAGGCCAAGGTCCTGAGCCTTCAATTCTTCTCGGATCTGGAGCAGGAGTGGATCTTCCTGCAAGCTGGGCAAGACCATTACGCGAGACTATGCGGCAACCTCGACAAGCCTTGATAACCCGACCCCCCTCCTGGGGCTCTTCTGGCTGTTCGGCGTCGGCGTGCCTCAACCCCCGAGCAGCCCACAGGTGCTCTCGCATCTTGCAACAGCCTCTTTCATTGGCTGCCAAGGATCTCCTCACTGCCATCTTCCTGCCCGTCATCATTGCTCTCTTGGCCTCGCTTGCGCACTTGCCCGGGCAACAGATCTAAGGCAAGAATGCAACATGCCAGTGTGGAGTTGGAGGGGTCCCGAGGATGCGACTCTGCAGAAATTCGATGAACTCCTGGTATGCAGCCGCGACTGTGCACCCTGGAACGCCTTGTGCACCGTTTGTCCTTGCGCGTGAGGAAGGTGTCATCTCCCTCGCCACCTGAGACGAACAGAGAGAAAAGTGTTGCCAACGACTTCGAAGCGCGTGCTAACTAGATGTCAGAAAGTTGATTTAATCCTTCTGGTGCTTTTCTTTTGAAGCCTCGGAGGTGCTGTATGTACGATTCCAGGGTGGCCACTCGCCTGTCGCAAGACTACAAGCTGGCATTGAGATTTTACCGGCAGATTTCTGAACTCGCACGGACGCGACTTTGTGGTAGCGGCTGCAGCATGTCAGCAGATAGGCCTCGAAATTCGCTGCCAGGCTGAGTCTATCTTCTTCGTACTGATCAACGACTTCCTGGCAGCTCCCATGAAGATTGAGTGCTGAGTGAATCGGTGAAGCATGGTGAAGCTGTCTCGGGAAACCGAAGCACCCCAGTTGAACTGGAGGCGAGCAACACGATGTCATCGATGTTCTCCCCATCGAAGAAGTCTGCCCCGGCACCTCTGTGCGACAGTCGCAGGAATCTGCCTGTAAGAGCGTTAGCACTTGAGTCGGACATGACTTTAAGGCTTTGCTTAAGTACTCAAGATTTGTTGGAGACAACAGCTCGCAAAGTCCCGACCAGCCTGACACGCGCCGCCCAGTCCTTGACAAGCACGAAGCGACACAGACGTCTGAGACCGAAACAAGCCAAGGCAAGAGGTTCGCCAAACCCACAGGAGTCAATAGTCTTCAACACAAATCACTGCAGATTCCTCTGCTTGCGTGGGCGAAGCATAGACGACACACGACCTCAAGGCCTCAAGCAACTGCTGTGGAGGCCCCGACCGAGGAGTCTCGATCTTGACTGGTGCCGCTCCCATGTTCTTGCGCAGGCTCAGCCCGGCCAGGCCAGCGCCCTTCAGTCGACTGCGCTACCGCTACGGTTTGCTGCTTTCTCGCTGTGGCCCGGCTCAGACCTGAGTGACATCTCAAAGCGTGGCCTTGCTCGGCGATGCATTCGTCTTGGAGATGGCGCCTGGCGCTGGGCGCAAGCGCAAGACTGCGCAAGAGGGGTAAGCTCAGCTTGTTAAAGGCAGAGGCTCATCAGATGCGAAGTGCTGAGAGAATTGTCTGGGGGAGATCTGAGCGCTGCACGGTTCTTGAAGTTGAAGGCGCCGTTTGTGTCCACCTCATGCACCTCTCCGCCTGCACAGGGAAAAACGGCAGTCTCGGGATGTGAGATCCTCTCGGCTACTCCTCTCAGAGCTTGCATCCGCAAGCAAAACTCAAGCAGATTCTCAAGGCCTGGTGTGGAGCGACCTCCATGGCTGTCGGTGCTGGTTTGCCTGTAGGCCATGGCCTCGCTCCAAATGCATCGACGCTAGCTTCCACCGACTCTCGCACCTTTGGCGCTAGCTGAGGCTGAGGTCCCGGCCGGCTCACCCAAGATCCCAACCGCCCCCCCGCGCCTCCATGCTTGGCCCCCTTGTTTTGGGCCAACGGACGAGCCGCTGTTCTACGAGGGCTTGAAATCTACTGTAGCAGCCCAAGTGGCAAAATCAATCAACAGATAACTCTGGACAACTCTTCGCTCCGAGCTCAGCCTGCTAGCACAGAGACCACGTAAGCCGCCTGCAGCAGAATCGGAAAAACAAGCGCCGAGAATCGCAGCGACCTCTTTGTGCTTGTACAGACGCTCGCAAAAGGAGCGTACGAGTGGTGACCCTCCGCTTCGGTGCCTTCGTGGCGGTGGACATCTTTCGGCCGATATTGCCCAAGGCACCGGGCATGTCATCTGGTGTCATCTGCGCAAATGGAAGCGACAGACCAAAGCCAGTGGATCAGCTGCACAGTGCCGCCGCATGCCCCTCGGATGCAAATCAGACTACCTCCTAACAGAGCGAGAGCTGCGCACCACGGTGAGCCTGCTCAAGCAGACGAGCTTGCTCCTTGCCGGACCACAACCGGTAACCGGGGAAGCAAAGAGGCTTTGAAGAGAGATTTCAGGACGTCTGAAGTCGCCTCCTGGACCACAGCCTCGTAAAGCTCCATTTGTGCCCTGCTGGGTCGCCGTGCGGAGAGCACGTCCCTGCCAACTCCAGCTCACAAGCTTTAAACATCCCAAGATGAACGATTAGGGATTAGGGAGTCGCAATTCAGCGTGCCTGAAGACTGTTAAGCCCTTCTCTTCGTCGAGCTGCTCTGATCCCTGCAGGACCTGCAACTCCGGCAAGTTCAGGGGCTAATTGATCTGTCCCTCGCCTCGGGCAAGGCCTGAGTCAGCAAACAGAGTCAAAAACAGCGGGGCCATGGTCAGCAAACAACTCTAACACAAGTCACCAACACCGCAGACGCAGACCGAAACGTTCAAGGCCACTTCGGAGGCACCCCCGCCCGAAATTGCAAACATGAAGAGGTTGTCCCTTGCCCCTGGAAATTTATTTCAATCAAACTGAAACAATGGTGGAAGAGTTAAGCGCAGTATTCATAAAAATCAACCGTAGCAGATGCTAAAACCTCGCAGAAGCAAAGAAACTGATACTAGAAGTGTATAACATAGCAACGGAGGAACCTTATAGTTGTCTGTTTATTGACTTGATGAAAGCAGATGTAAATTACATGTTTTATAAGCGGTTGGATGCTAAACTAGTTACCGGATAACAATATTATTTATACATAATATGGTTAAATCAATGAATAACTGCATACATTCATAGGTGGTACTTTATAATGTAGTTTATCGCTTTTTGCTTCATTAATATCTAAATCCTTCATTTGCCCCATATTTTCCGTAGCACAAGACTTAAGCATTTTCGAACCCATAATGTATAATAAATAGACATTCGAATCAATCGAACTCTTCAAAACCGCAAAATAGTCCTAGTTTGTCGGTGCAACATGCATCGTATAAGTAGAAAACCAACAAGCTACAACCAAGCAAATTCTGACCATATTCTTTTTTCTCTCTATCATTCCACATCTCAAACAAATCTATAACATATTTATAGTTACATTCATAAATGACTTCAAAAAAATGCCATATTCTCTACGTATAAAATCAAATGCTTTATGCTTCGCTTCTTCTGTTAAGTGGTCATCTTCATAATAAAAGGTCTCCATAAATAGTTGAATGGTAACACAATCAAAAACGGTTTGATAGCGAGTTATTTATATGGATATTCTACATTTTCGTAATAATCTTACCATTGTCATGTATCCAATCACTTTTTGCTCTATACATTGTCATATATATATATATAATAACACACCTACGTGTTGTAATATTTCATCTGTCACTAAATTAGCCTTTTCTATTTCTCTCCAGCTATAAATGAGTAATGGACTTGTTTATTTCGTCATGTGCTTTTACTGCATATTGTAGAGCAGACCATGAAATTGGAGTTGTCATACTTTAACCGGATCTTACATAAACATCTTTTCCTTTTTATATTTAAATCATCCCATTCTTTTGGCATTTTTTTCGTTTACAAAGTCAGTAACATTTAGCGCAGTGCGCTTGCCGAATGCAGCCTCCCTGTTTTTGACTGCTGGGGTCTTGCTGCTGAATCGAGGCCTCCCTGTTTGTGACAGGTTGCTGTCTGTTTCCCGACTCCTTTTGCTCAAATTGGCGGCGATTTGCTGAATCTGGCTACTCTGCCCTCGCCCGGCCTCGGCGATAGTCTGGTTGTCTACGTGCTCGTAGCAGGCGAAAACCTGAGGTTGGGGCCAGTTCCCATCTGAGGCGAAACCAACATGTCAATGGCCCTGCAGCTGACATGTCATGTCGTGCATCCTCGCATCCGACCGCAAGAGCATGCTCAATTCGCAACTCTAGTTGCCTGTGTTGCCTGTTCCCACCAGCCGTCCCCAAATCGTCACAAATGAGCTTGTTCTCGAGGCTCGTGCTGTCAATGAGAAAAGCTGATTGACAGCCTCTTCCTCTGTGAACTCCTTCATCCTCCAAGCTCAGGGCCCGCACAAAAACTTTGGCATGCTCACATGCATCGCAGAGAGAGCATGAAAGAGAGAGAGAGAGAGAGAGAGAAAGACATCACAAGCTTGTGAGCACGGTAATGCAAATTTATCAAGGGACCAATGAGCGAACATGGATGATTCTGGGGTCAGAACCCTGGAGTGCTCTGCGCCATGAGCGAAGAGACAGCCGTTTCCACCTGCAACAGCTGGCAGTCAAACTTCCACAGCTGTTCTGCGATCTTTAAGACATTAAGGTGCCAGGACCCAGTTATTTGGAGATTGTTTGGAGTCAGAAGTAGCAGCTGCTTGCACGGAAAACCACCACCTCATCTGACCGCGTCTCCAGTCGACGTCGAGTTGCACGAATGCACCTTCTGGCAAGATCTTCACAAGAGCGTGCGAGAACACACAAGCAGCAGCAGGCACAGCGCTTACCGCAACCTCCCTGCTACCGCTGCTGCCTCCGCTTTACCACTGCGCCGGTCCGGAGCTGCGCAACCCAAATACAGTCATGGTCCCAGACGCACTCATGCGCTTTCGGCGCGACTTCTTCGACAGCGCCTGGTCAACCTGCGATTGTGGTAGGTGGATGTGATTTTTTCTGCTGTAGGTCTGATGTAGATTTCCTCGTCTTCCTTACTTCATCCTTCTCTTCCTTCTCGTCTTTAAGTTGCCAGAATGTGCATGTCGTAGTCAGCAAGTCGAGTAGACGACATGCTATGGTGGTGTTCCTTGCCTTGAAACCAGCTACATTCAGCACTCCCCGAAGCGATCAAACTACGGCAGCAGCGCTAAGTCACATCACGTTTTGTTACATAGCTGTCGAAGGGGACGCGCGATGCGAGGTGGTCACATCATGACGTCGCATCAGCAAGTCTGCATCCACTAGACAAAAACACATGGCAACCGAGCCATTCCCCAGGGAGACATCCGATTTAGTTCTGTCCCCAGAAGCTTAAAAAAGTAGTGAGATACCAGCTGCCTTAGAGTGCGACTTCCGATGCTTGACAATCTGACTACACACGTGACCGCAAACCCATGGCTTTATCGTGCAACAACCGGGCATGGCGACAGTTGCTTCCGTGCTCCGGCCTTGGAGATATCGCCCTGCGCGGCCATCTGCCAAGCCAGTGCAGAATCGAACCACAAGACTTCCAGAACAAATCTGCAGTATGGGCCATGATTAGGTGTCAGGAGAAATTCACTATGCAAGAACACGAGGCTCAGCTACAGCACTGCGAGCTCCTGGCTCCCCGCACCTGTCATCAATGCTCCCACAGACATAAACCGGCAGCCCGCGCAGAATGGGCAGAGCTGCAAAAAAGGGCCGAAGGCACGGCACTGTATGCCAGATGCCGACGGGGAGCTACGACCCCTTTGGGGCCCAGCTTGCACGATCTCATGAATTCGGAGGCGCTGCCGGGCTCTCTTTGTTCTTCTCCGAGCTGGATGCGTCTCTGTGGATCTCCGACTCGAGGCTTCAAAGCCTCTTAGCCGAGGCTTTGGCTTTGGCGAAGCTGGAGCTCTTCTTTGCCTCCTCCGAGAGCACTGGCCGAAGCTTCAGCACGTACTCCGCACGGACTCAGCAGGGCGCTTGGCCGAATACGTCTCCACGGTCCATCGAAGTGCTCCTTCAGTCCCCGACACCTCGGTGCTCCTCCCTCAAAGCCTGCAGCGCGCTCGGCTCACGTGACACCGATGCAGGGACAGTTGCGTGCAAGCTGGTTCCAGGGCCTGCATCCGGAAGTGCCCCTGTGGGAAGGTCATGTGCCTGGTCTTCTGTGGTCTTGGGCTTGCGGCGCTGGTGCCGCAGGTCCCGCAGAGATGCTGGAGCACCGCTGTTCAAGCTGCAAGCGCTCCCACCGCTTCCTGGCCGCCCGGCACTCAAAGCGCTGACACCACTCACCTGGGATTGCCCAGAGGTTGGTCGGAGATGATCCTGATTGATCAAGGAACCGGCGGCGGCCCTCAAGGTCGGAGATCCAAACTTTGCCCTCTCCTTCGCCGTAGCCATTCCTCCCGGTGGCTGCCGTCCCCGTGCGCTCTCCTTTCCTTCGGATGACTTAGCTTGCATCCTGTCCGTCCGGTCCAACCCGTCGTGGTTAGTCTGTGCTCGAAGCTTGGACAGGAATGCATCAAAATCCTCAGGTGTTGCGGCAGCAAAGGCTGCAAAATCGTCCTTGACGATCGGCCGCTGGGTGCCAAGACCATCTAAAGAAATCGTGCCCAGAGTGCCGGCAGCCGCACCCAGACCACCAAGTCCCTGCAGAAAGTCGAGGCTATCTGGTTGAACTGAGCTCAAGAGCTCCGGCTGAGTGCATTCCATCCCCGGGTATCCCGCTTCACGGGCTTTGCCGGCATCGTCTGACTTCTGCCGGGCTCTGCGCGGGGGCCGACCCGTGGGCTTGGATGTTACCGAGCTCTGGAGGTCGTCAGCCCCAAACTGTCGCAGAACGCCCTCCCAAGACTCGGATGGTGCTTCCTCTTCACGGGCGCTGTAGGGCATTTTTTCGGAGGGGCTTGCAAAGCTGGAGGTGGTAACACAGACAACCTCTGCACGTGCCTCTCTGATGGCATTCACTGCGCCCTGCAACAGACTCAAAGGATCGTCTGGATCTTCGCGGTCGCTGAGTCTGCTCTCTTTGGGAAGGGAATACTCTGCAAAGCCTTCGGATCCAGCCAATGCGCTGATACCTTCCGAGGTTTCTGGACCTTCCTCGGTCTCTGGGCTCTGCACGGGCATTGTCAGTGGCGGCGACTGTACGACTGCGAGGTTGTTGGTGAGTGACGTGCTTGCCCTCAGTTTCTCTTCTCTCTCCGCTCGCTCGGCTCCGATCCAAGTTGCACCCATAGTTGCCCCCTGAAAGTCAGCTTGTACAAACTTTGACTCGCCCACAAGCGTTCCTTCCAGCTGCGAAGTCTCTGCTCCCAATTTGCCGCTGAGGGCGGTGTTTCCAAGCCTTTCGTCCAGCTGAGCTGTGTTTTCCAGAGGCTTGCCCCAGCTGTCTTCAAACAAGGAGGCTTCGCCCAAAGCTTCGCCCGCAGCTGGCTCGTGATTCTCCAGAGCGGGAGCCACGTCCGTCCCTTCGGCTTCGGCGGCCTGCAGCCACGGAACGGGCGCGACCGGCCAAGCGTGCGGATCCGACGGAGCCGGGGCCGAGGCCGAGACCCTGCTGGCCTCCTCCCTGAGCTTCTTCAGCTCTTCGTCCGTGGGATAGCCGGGTTCTTCCCACGATGTCCCTGCAACTGCAGGGGCGACCTCAGACTCGTATTTGGAATAGAAACCACCCCAGGGCTCGCCAGCAGGGCCACGCATGCCCGACATACCCTCCACAGGCGTCGAGGCAACAGAAGGAAGCATGTGGAGCGAAGCCTGTCCCGGTGCAGCTGGACCAGTGCTTTGTAAGAGCATCTGCCTTTGCAGTTTGCGCTGCAGCTTCTTCACGTCCTTCTCCTTCTCCTCAAGCTGCCTTGCCTTCATGTCGAGAAGGTCCTGCCTCGCACATTCCTTCTCCTGGCGCAGCCGGTCAGCCTCCTCTTGAAGCCGAGCAAGTGCATCCTGCTGGTGGCGGTAGAGTTCCTGTTGCTGGTGCATCAAACCCTGCAGCATGTCGCTCACTGGCGGGGAGGACGCTGGACCTGGAGCTGCGGACTGAAAGCTAGCCTGGGGAAGTGTCCCTACGGGCCCAACCGACCCAGGTGCCATCTCCCAGGGAAGAGGCGAGGAACTGGGAGACGCATGGTAAGGCTGCACGTGCGGCGCCTGCTGTCCCGGCGGCAAACCGAAGAGATCCGAGCGAGTTTGGCTTTGACGCGGGAAGCCCTCTTTGTCCTCGGTGCCTCGCATAGATTTCCGGCCCGGAGCCTTACGTGGTGGCAGGGGCCCCGGGGCCTCGTCTTCCTGCTTGGCCACGGCCGCGCGCTCGTTTTCTTCCAAAAGGGCACGCTTCTTAGCTTCGTCCTCCTGCCGGCGAGCCTCCAATCTGGCCTCCTCTGCGGCCTGCTCTCGGCGGATCCGTTCGTTGTCCCGTTCCTCCTCCTGCCTTCTGCGCTCCTCCTCCTCCTTCTTCTTGCGCTCCTTCTCCGCCACCTGTTCCGCGAGCATGCGCTTCATCTCCTGCGAAGAGGAGTTATGGCATCTAGATGTGTGCAAGCAACAAACGCTCCACGTCCCGCTGTCCTCTTGCTTCTTCCGGCGATCGTCCTGGCCAGCCTGGGGGTCTGGCGCCCCCAGCCGGCCAAGCGGGCCATGGCCTGCCATCAGGACGGGACGTATTGAAGCCTAATCCTGGGGACCCTTCAACTTGCAGCTCTCATGGCGTAAACGCATAGCCGCACACCGTACTTCTCAAGCTAGGCGCACTGCATCGCACACATCAAAAGCCGGGAGCAAGTCAACTGCGCTGCCTGCAGATTGGCTTGGGGTGCCAGGCCCAGCTGCTGGAGCGCCAAAGCCAGGGCACGGATGGCCCGGCTGAGACCCGGGTGCCAGGCTCGGCTGGTAGGAAACCACCTGACCTCCCGCGCCCATGGGCATTCCGGGACCAAGGCCCGGCATGGGCTGCACGTACTGCATGGAAGGCATGCCCGGCTGCATGCCCGGCTGCATGCCTGGCTGCATGCCCAGCTGCATGGGTATCTGAGGCATTCCAAGCTGGTGGTACTCCAAGTACCCGTTGTAGCCATCTTGCATGGACTGTGGCATTCCTGGTGCAACTTGGCCAGGTGCCTGGCCGGCGTCGGAGGTCCGTCGCCGTGCCTGCGCTTCGCGCTTCTGCCGCTCCTTCTCCGCAATCTGCTCTTCCAGGGCACGCTTCATCTCCTGATGCCTCGGCTCCCAAAAAAGCATGACAGGCAGCTAAAAGCATGGACGTAAAACCTCTTCGTGACTGAAGCAAAGTCAAAGCCACTTCTTCCTTCTTTCCATCTGCACAGCATCTCCAGCTGCGCCCAGCCCGTCTACGCCGGCGGGCGGTGGTTGACTCACACCTTGCTGCACCGGCGAGAAGCCGGGCTGCACGGCGTTGCCCTGCAGTGGTAGACCCTGCATGCCCTGCATGCCTGCCATGCCATGCTGCATGGGCTGCATGGGCTGCATGGGCTGCATGGGCTGCATCGGCTGCATCTGCATCGGAATTGGATGACCGTTTTGGGCCATGCTATGGTCGTCCGGCATGTTGCCTGGGCCTGGGACCTTTCCCACATAAGCCAAGCGCTCTTTCTCGGCCACCTGCTCTGCCAATGCACGCCTCATCTCCTCTTGCTTCCGACGACGGTCCAGCTCAGCTGCTTCTGAGGCAGCTCCAAAGCCTCCGAGGCCTGAAGGGCTGCAAGGGCCTCCTGCTCCCAAAACAGGTGAGGCAGGAGCCTGGGCGGCATAATGTGCTTGCGGCGGTGGCTGTGCATAATGTGCTTGCGGTGCTTGCGCTGCTTGGTGGAGGGGAGATCCAGCCAAGCCTAGGCCTTGACCGTGTGGTGTCATACGGTCCCTCTGCGCCATCTGCTCCTCAAGGGCACGCTTCACCTCCTCCTGCCTACGGCGCCGCTCCAGCTGCGCCGCGTCCCCCGCGGCACCCAAACCCTCGAGGCCAGCAAAGACCGGAGGCGCTGCAGGCGGGGCAGCAGCTGCAGCTGCAGCTGCCGCTATTGGAGGTTCCTGGACAGCTGGTTGAGCCTCGGCCAGGAGTTGTCCTGGCGACGCCAGGGCCGCTGGCAACACCGTCGCCGCGAAGGGCGGCTGTGGCTGCGGCTCTGGCAACTGGGAGCCTTGCTGCCTTGGCGACGGCTGACCCAAGGGGAGCGGTGCCTCCCTGCCGACCTGTCCAGCAGGAGGCCTGTCACAGGAATGCAGCTTTGCACTGTGCTCCCGACTGCAGCTCGATCGCACCTCGAGGGGAGCCCAAACAGTCGGGCTTCGGCTGGGGCACCTGCACTTTGGCCATCTTGAGGTGGGTTCACCAAAAACGCATGCAAGTTGTCTACACAGCAAGAGCACCCGTGCGCGCCTCCCGCGCCAGCGCTGGGACCAAAGAGGTTCTTCTTGGCCCCTTTCCCATCTCAGTTCGAGGCGGCAGGCAGAAGAACAAACGGTGACCTTGAAGCAATGCACTTGCACGACCTTCAATTGAGGTGAGGGCCATCGAAGGCAGCTGGCTTGGGAATCTTGCTACTCTCTTCCTCCCATACACGGAAAGCGTATAAGCTCAAGGTTTCGTGACACGAAAAGGCTACAAGAAGCGATCGAAGTTCTTCTGTCTCGCTCCTGTGCCGCAGCTTTCTCCTTGGCTGCTTGAGCAGCTTGAGCCTCCGCCTGCCGGGGCACCCAGAAACCTCCTGGGGTCACGTTGCGTTGTTTGGATCAGGAGGAGTGCCTGCAGCATCTGCTTGAGCTCCGGGTTCTTTGCCTGGGCTCGCTCCAGCTCCACCTGACATAGGCAGGGTTGGATTGGCGAGAACGAACAAAAGGCCAAGCATCTTGGCTGGAACTTGGTTGGATTGACCGGATTAAGCTCCTTAGCGCAGATTAGAGGTACACCTCGGTCAACATCTTCGCCCAAACGCTCACCAGCCTTCCATGTTGCGCTAGATGAGATGAGATTAATGTGTCTGAATGTGTCTCTCGGGCGTTCCTGCCGTATCAGCTTGCCAGCAGGGACGGTCGCTCATGTCCCTCTATTCATCCATCTAAAGAAACACATACGTAGACTTGACTGACTGACTGACTGGTGCCTGGGCGGCTGGCTCCCACTAACTATATCTAAACTATCTAAACTTAACTAGCTACCGAACGAACGCACGAACCAACCAACCAACTATTCAAGTATCGAACTAGCCGACCCTTTCTGCCCGTCTGTCTACCGACCCATCCATCCATCCGTCCATCTATCCATCTACCTACTGCATTTATCTACAAATCTCTGCATCTATGTATCTATCTATCTAGCCATCTCCATCCACCTACCTATCGACCCTTCCGACATAGATCGATGGATGGACCGATCAAAATAGTCGGGTACCTATACGCTTCTCCATCCATCTATCCACCTGCCTACTGGTATCTATCTTTATGTCCATACCGATGTATGTATGAGTATGTATATGAGTATGTATGCATGCATGTATGCATGCATCTACCCATCTACGTATCTATCCACCAAGCTACCTACTTACACCTGCCTACACCTACCTACCGACACCTACCTACACCTACCCACACCTACCTACACCTACCTACACCTAGCTACCTGCCTGCCTGCCTGCCTGCCTGCCTGCCTGCCTGCCTGCCTGCCTCCCTACCTACCCTATCTATCCATGTAAAATGTGTCCATCTATCTATCTATTCAGCTATCTACCTGTAACATCTGTATGTGTCAAAAGTCAACTTGTGGCCAAGGGCCCGACCCGGAGCTGTACTGCCTGTCTCAGCCTTGCACGGAGATGCGACTGGGATTTTCTGCAAGGAGAAAAACTGCGAGGCTTTACACAGAAGCCTATGCATGTCTGCTGCTGTCAGCACTTTTTGCCAGCCGAACCTAGAAAACCTCTATCTGCCTGAGGGACGGAAACCACAGACTGGGCAGCCCCTGAGCTTCAAGCAGATCTCCACGCTCTTCCGAGCCCTCTTCCAGAAGATTTGCGGCCGCCTCCATCTGTGCCACCTGCGGGTCGCCCCCCTTCGGTGCCTACTTCTGAAGGCTCTTGACTTGGAGCAGCACCTCCTGCTCTTTGTCCTTGAAGCGTTCCAGAGCCCTGAGGCAAGCAGAAGGCTTCTGCAAAAAAGGGCACCAGAGCATCGAACCAGAATCTGCCCGGGAATCCCGAAAATCCCGGCCCCAGGCCTCTGCTGCAAACGCACTTCGCGCTGGGAGTTCCATTCCTGGCGCGCAGGGGACAAAAAAATACAACAACTTCTTCCTGACACCAAGCACCTGCAGGCAGACAAGAAGCACCCGAAATAATTTCGCTTCCTTGCAAGGTACAGTACGTGACTGGGTCCTCAAGACCAGCGTCATTACTCAATCCGAGGCTCTTGACTTAGCCAACCGTCTCCCACTTGTTTATGCCCGAGTTACTCAGTCTTTGCCCTCGCTTCATTAGCCATGATCCGAGGTTTTGGCGTTGTTGAGACATTCGATTTGGACGGTACTCCTGAACCTCGCGCCTGCTGGACTGCCTCCTCGCTGACCGCGGCGGCAGCTGCCGCCTCCTTTGGCAACAGAAATAACTAGAGATCCGAAGTGTCGCCCAGGGCAGTAATAGTTGCAGAGGGCTGGCAAGCAGTAGGTTTGAGTCTGTGGACTCGACCGGCAGCACACACATGAAGCTTGATTTATGATGATTTATGACGGCGCTTCTGAGATCGCAGCTCGATGACGCTCTGCCCGCGAGCGGGGCTGCATGCCTACCTGCATAGTCGTTGCGGCCACGTCGTGCTATCAAACATACATCCCAACACCTCCCAGTATATAGTTAGAATAGTTCCCAACACCGGCCATGCAACGAAGTACTGCACACTTCCCTCCCTGCCCGGTCCCTTCAGTTGGCTCTTTCTTTCTTTCAGTTGGCTCTCTTTCTTTCTTTCTGCAGCTCTCTCTCTCTCTCTCTTTCTTTCGGCAGGGTTGTGGGCAGGGGAAGTTCCCCTACCCGCGCGCACTGCGGCGCCCCCGACTGTTGCGGAGGAGGAGAGTGAAGCTCTCTCTCTCTCTCTCTCTATCAAGCCGTGGGAGCTGGGCAAGTGCAAGTTTGTCAGTATTTCGGGCCTCCCATGTCATGGGTTACATTCACCCCTCTCTCCCCAAAGCGGCCTGCATCTCACCCCTCCAAGGCTTGCAAGGCAAGCATCCGTCCCATGAGATGAGGGCCGGAGATCTGGGATTTTGACTTGCAGCGTCGAAGTTAACATCTACGACTAAGGTCGGCAACACACCGAGATTGGGAAACTTCGCGAAGATAGCCGGGGTCAGAGACTCTGCCTGAAAAAACGCCATAAGCCTGCCTCGGCATCAGGAGCTCTGGCAGGACTTGTCCATGGAAGGAAGGGGAAGATACAATTCCGGAGTTCTTTTGAAGCTGTGATGAAGCCTGCTGCAGCAGTTTGAAGCTCGGTCCGCTCTTGAGCCTGATGCTGAGCGGTACAGAGCCTAGCAATGCAAGGAATGGATTGCCATGGATCTGGTCGGCTGTTGATTCTTCACAGCTCGGGGCGCCTTTCCACCGATCCCGATGAGGTCGCTAACATCCTCATTGTCGAAGCCCAGCGGAGCTGCTGCCTTGCATACACTCTTTGCAGCGAGAGGCTCAATAAACGAAGGCTGGGGAGAAGGTTCTGAAGGCATCAGCTGAAGGCTTTGGGAGCTTGGCTTCCGCGTGTAGCTGCTACCTGAGCGTCGTGCCACAAGGCAGAAGAGGTTGGCAAAGAGCCACAGCTCGGGCTGCATCAATTAAGAGATTTCACTGTGAGTCCTTGCGGCTTTGAAATTTGCAAGGGGATAGAGCTTCAGAGCCTTGACTGACGCTAGATGGCCTTGCATCGCCTTTCCGTAGCACAGCAATTATCTGAAACGAAACAGTCTTTGATCATGTGCTGAAGCTACTGCTGGGTACGAGTACCGTTCTTTGAGCCAATGGCCTTGAGACAATACGGTGCTGTTGCGATGCAGTTGTTAGCGGCCAGGTGCGAAGTGCAAAATCAAGAGGCACGGAGCCTGGGTTCTCTCAGGTCACAAGATCCACTTGGCAAAGCCATTTGGGCCATGGATGCTGCGAGGCAGATCCGGAAGGGCCCTGCGCCCAAACCCAAGAGCCGCGTAAGGAGGGGGCTCAAGGTGCGACTCTAGTCTCCTCCTACCACTACGACCAGCGCCACCACCACCGCCGCCACGAGGACGAGGACGACCGCCGGCGGAGGGTGCTGCTAAAAACTACAACCACGACTACTGCACGGTACTGCTATCTCTATACTCTGGCGTACTGCCATGGCTTGGATGTTGATCTGTCATTCCGGCTCCTGTCAGCCTCAGGCCTAGCCGTTCGACCTACTGCTCCAGGGTGGCGAGGTTTGAGCGTGGTGAGCAGATGGGATGTGCCAGCTAGCTGTTGGAATGAAAGGGTTTATGGTCCTAATAAATTTGGGCGGTTCGTCTCCGGAATGCTTAGTTAGACTGGGGTCGTAAGGTCACTAGACGAGCTGCAAGAAAGTCTGTGAGTGAATAAGTGAGTAGGCAAGGTCCCGTGATCCTTGGAGGAACCTCGAGCTGTGGAGCTGCAGACGGCGCTTTTGGATGGCACCGGCATAGTGGCTCTTTGCGGTGTTCCGCATGCCTATGACAAGCTGCCTCCAAACTCCGAAAGCCCATCACATGTATGTCCTTTCCCCATTCGCGCGAGGAGTACAAGTGTCAGTGTTCGAAAGAAGTCACGAGTAAGTGGTTACATCGCCGTGGTTACATCGCTGCCGCCGCAATCTGCAGTCGTGCTGAAAGACAGGGATTCAAAAGACGCTTCTGAAACATCTGGCTTCGTGAAGTGGGACGGAATGTGTCACCAGGTTACGCATTCATGCGTGTACAGTCTCGTTGACGTTCTGTCCAAAAGCGAGTCGTCTGAAAGAGGCGTTCGACGTGGACCACACCAACACGCGCTCGTATCCGCCTCCGTCGTCCTAGAGCGACCCAAGCAGGCGGAATGACTCGCGGCGCCAGAGCAAGGGATGTCCGAAGGTTTCCTTCATCCAGCACCTCGTGCGCTTCACGTTGAAACGTTGAATTGGCACGAAGCTCCAGGTTACAAATATGTGTTGGTGACCACATCCTCATCCTCATACTTCTCCTCATCCTCCTGGGCAAATCTTAAGGTCGAGATGCTGCGTGCGCAAAGTCGATCTGTGTCACCGCTGTGAGAGCGACGGTGCTCCATGGAGCCGGTAGTACCGTTAGAGGCAGAGGCGGCAGAGGTGTGACCAACAGCGGTCCCAGCACTTACGGCAACCCGGCTGCTCAAGCGAGAAAGCCTGAAGCTCGGGATGGACGTTTAAATACTTAAATCACCACAACGCCCTAAAGCGGCAGAAACGAAACATCTCTCAACAGGACCCGCCTTGGTCGACTACGGTGCTCCGTCTCGATTTGGTCGCAGCGTCGCAGCAGCAGGCGTTGCAGGTCGTCACGGTCCAGGACGCCATTCCCGTCTTTGTCTAACTCCTTGAAGCGATCGATGATTGGTGTGACGTGGTCCATGTTCACAAGTTCCAATGCCCTCAGCATGGCCAGAACGTACTCCAGCTCCGTGACTTTCCCGTCGCCACTAACATCGAACTCCTCGATCAAGGTGGGATCCAGCTCCCGCTGCAGCATCCGTGCCTTTCGCAAGCTCAGCTGGCGGGCTTGTCTCAATCTGTTAATATGGTCAGCCCACATGATGATCAAGCCAATGCCATAGCTAGCAACAACGATCGACCAGCCCTTCGCCGAATTCGTGCGTGGGCAAATGTCTCCGTAGCCAACCGTTGTTGAAGTGATGACCTCCAGAAGATTCGAGTAATTACCCTAAATACACGACAAGCAGAACACTGAAGCTAGGCATTGATCTTTTTCGTCTTACTCAAAGGACTTGTTCCATTCTGCCATGATACGAAGTAATAGATGCTGTCGAAGAGACCCATTTCGTAGGCCTGTGTGACATCCAGACTGCTCGCAAAAGCACCCGGTGAGTCAACAAACATCGCCCACATCACGAGCATCATCAAGAATGCCGTGGCGGCCAGGAACGTCGCCAGCTCCACGATGCCCCAGAAGTAGAAAGGGACCGAGGAGAGGACCCAGACATTCGACTCCTCGATGTGGATCCAATCCCCACGCTCCGGTGTTGGAAGGCAGTGGCTGAGCATCCAGCACCAAGGCCTGAAGCAGAGCGAGAGCCAAGCACGTTGAAACTCTGCGAGGGTACCTGTGATGAAGGGCACGGAGAAGAAGGCATAAACCATGGTGAAGGCACGTGACTCCATGGATGTAGGTGCCAAGCACCCATATCCGACTGTGGTGGTGGTCACCTTGGGCCAGCTCTGGTCGCAAGCACAAGTTTTGCAGTTTTCGACACCCCACTCTCGATTGTGGCAACTGCAGAACCGACTAGATTCGCCTAGATGTTTGCTTTGGCAGGATCATTGCAACGTGTCCTACGGATGCTTTAGCAGGGTTTCCATTCGGCCGAAGCAACAAAGCTGAAGTAAATGCAATCAGTGAAGGACCATTCAGGCTCCAGGAAGCTGTAGATAGCGCCACCGAGCAAACAGTAGCAGCTGCAGACGATCAAGCAAGTAGCAGCCCGAGTCGGGCTGACACGGAGATCAAGCGGAAGTGCCATGGGGAAGTAGCTATGGCTGAGAGCCAGGAAAACCGGCGTCACAGGCGCCGCGCCACAGGCGGACCGACCAGGCCCCGCCCCACGGGAGGTGGGGGGGGGGGGGGTGCGGGGGCCCGGGGAGGCCATGCCATGCGCGTGTCAAATGCTGTGGAAAGCATGTCCGAAGTGAAGCCGAACAGGTCCCCCACCACGCCTCACCCCTCGTGTGTTGTGCACGATTTCGGGTCTGAAACCAAGCAAAGGATGTTTCAGGCCTTTCTGCAGCCGGCCATTTTTCATTCCCACCTTCAAATCAAAGCCTGATGACTCTCAAGCCGATGCAAACGCTAAACGCTTTGGCCGACAAGCACTCAGCATTCAGATGTATTCAGGACACCACAACTGTCTACAGTCCCAATTCTAGCGCTGACAATAATCCTCATTGAGCTGCACCACTTCCTGCGAGATATAAAAGAGTACTGCATGGGGGTCAAGCGTCGTCTGGTATCCTTGAGACGAAAATGCGTTTCGTGAACTATGTAGATATGCCTATTTTTTTCTGTTCATAAGTCGCCATGAGCGTGGTGGGTTAGGTCCGTATCTGCACCCTCGTGTGTCGTTTTGCAGGGCACGGGGAGCTGGTGCAAACAATGTCTTCGTTGTCCTAGTTGCCGCATCCGCCCATTCCAGAATTCCAACATGGCATTCATGGAGCAAGCCATCAGCATCATTGATCGCTTCCCATGCTGCAATCCAGTGCTGGAACGCACTTACCTGCTCTGTTTTCCGAGAGCTCCCCAGAAGCTGCGTCCCCAACATCCTCATGCACCTCAGGCTCATAAGGCGAGTTGCGGCCTGTGGCCTCGCGGGGCACCTCATCTCAGGCTCGGACGGGACTGCCCCTTCCGAAGGGGCGGAGCTTGAGCCGCTTCGCTTCCTTCTGCCGGACCTAAGACCCCACCAAGTGAGAGCATCGCATTTTCACGCAGAGAGCGCATGGGGGCATCGGAGCGCCTGCTCCATGCGGCGCTGCTTCGCTGCTGGGTCCATGGGGCGCTCGCCGGCTCCTGCAAGGACAACCTCTGGGAAGGCGCTTCGGTCCGCTCTCCATCGGCTCACCTGCTGTGCGCTTGTTCTCCGAGATATAGGCAAACTGCCGCACCTGAATCCAGCAGCAGCAGCACCAACGCAAGCTTAACTTGCACAGTTTCCAATCGGCAAGTAAGGCTGGAGCGAAGAAGAACAGGAATGGATCATCCATGAAGGAGTCCTGAGCGAAGCAGTTGAGCCGCTAGGTCCGCTAGGTTACCAGTCCCATCCTGAGCACAGGACAAATCCAAGAGGCTCCTCAGCCCAACGAGGCTTGCAGGAGGCATCCCACGCACTCTTCGCCGGCACACTGGGCCTCCCCACCGAGCCCTCTGCGGCTCCCCCGGTTCGGGGTAGCACTTCTTTGGCTAGAGCGGCCAGGGCCTGCGACGGACTGCGGCGCCACAGGAAACTCAAGGACTGGAGAGCATGGAGTCTACAGAGTGCTGTAAAAGCCCGGAAGACAGGCAGGTAGAAGTTTGATCTTCAGGCTCAGTTCAGGCTCAGGGGTGGGACAAGCCTTGGGTCACGGTCCGCAAAGCAACTTCTGCGAGTTCCTGCTATAGAGACTCTTTCCACTGGCCTCCACGGTGGAAACGCAGCCTGCAGAGTAGATTTCAACAGTGTGGAAAACGGCGTCGCAGCTGAAATTATGAAAGCCTGCATGCGCAAGTGGCCTGTGCCCTCCGAGTGGTAGCGCCAGAATCTAGAAGGCGGAGGATGTCCAAGGCGAATCTTAGAGGAAGTGTCTCATGCCCTTTTTGGCAAAGACGTCTTGCTACTGCCGCACTTCCAGGACTCATTCGATGAGCCGTGCTGGGCTCTCGCAGAGCACGACTTTGTGGACTTGGTACCAGACAGATCGCAGCTTGGCCAGCCGAGGGTGTTTGCGCAAGACCTCACCCAACGGAACCATCTGGCAGAAGGAAGTCGGAATCGCTTAATTACCCGGCGCGCCTGTGCTCGCTTCCACGGCGAGTCGATCACGACCTGGTCTCGCTCCGCTGCAAAGGCAGTCACTGCATGCTTGAGCAAGACAGGGATGGGTGACGGGCTTGCCACATGAAGCGGCCCGAGAGACGGACAAGTGTAAGACGATCAGGTGATCCGAAATCTGGCTCAGTAGCCACCTGTCGCAATCAGTCAGAAACAAACTTCAAACACGGCATCCAACATCCTGCCATATCCTGCCCTGTAATCGTCGGCCTCTTCGAAGGTTGCACTGCTGTCGTCCTCAAGGCACGATGTAGGATCCGACATGATCCGACGCAAGACTGCACAGAGTAGGGTCGCAGAGCTTTGGGCACCGCACTGGGAAGAGCACCAGCGTAATGTGAGGGTCGTACCTAGGACCAGCCGGCAACTCCCACTCCCCTTGAGGCCGGCGGTGTCACCACGGGGCGCCACAGCCAAGCCTATCGCCTGAGCCTCTAGGTTCCAGTCTCGGGGATCTCCCTGATCACGGCGTTGGAGGGCACTCCTTCACGAGGCTCTGGAGAAGCTCCCGAGGAACACCCGCTGGGCACGGTCTTGGAGTTTGGGGATCCACATACAACCGCTCCTCTTGAGTCCTCGAAGTCTGCCTGTCAAGCTGCAACTTTTGACAACCTGACCGCAGAGTACGTCGGCGCCTTGGTGGCAGTGCCGCCGCCGGGTCGGCTCAGGGTGCGATTAGTGTTGGCTTCTGTAGTGAAAAGGTCGATGAGGCGGACCTGCCGAATGCAAAACCTTCCACAAGCAATACCAGATGGCAGTAGCTCACCCACGAGTGCCCAATGCGCCTGTTCCGGTGCAAGTACTTTGGCGTGGATGCTGGTAGCCTTGCGAGAACTCCCTCCTTCGAGTTCTGGAAACTGTCGCGTGTAAAGTCGCTTGCAAAGCGGGGCCTTCTTGGGTGCATCGTCGAAGATAATGTCACACCGCGCGAATGGCAGCCTCTTTCTTCAGCCACACATGCCACACACGACCCTTCCAAGCGGAGACAGTCCCTGCAAAACCCGTCGCATTTTTGGCAGCGAGTTGTGGTAAAGGCTTCGGAGAGATGCTATCAAAAAGAAGCACACCACGAGCAACAGACCTGGCCTGGCCCTTGGAACGGTGACGCCATCGGGAACCCCGAGAGGCGTGCCTCCAAGTGCTAGGAACTGCTCTCGAAACAAACTCGAGTTGAAACGTCGCATCTGCAAGTTTCGGAGGCAATGCCCCTGAGCTCCTGGCAACAGAAGGGGCAGTAGAACATCGCTTTGGCCCCGCAGCTGCCACAGACCTCTTCCGGAACTTTCAGCTTCTGAAAGGCTTCCTGCATCGTGCCCTGGAGGCTTGTGCACGTTTTCTCGTTAACATTCCCTTCCGAATTGTAGAGGGGTCCCCCTGGTTCTCGCTACTCGACCTATATACTTGCCCGCCTCCCTTCGCCACCTGGCAAGCTCTGCCACCAGCGCATCTGGAACCTCCACAGCTGACACAACAACTTCGCGCACTCGTTGCGTGCAGAACCTCAAAGTCTCTCCACGAGCCACGGGCCTCCGGGCGCTGCTCCGGGCCCGGGCTCGGGACCGCCATGGCAGAGTTCTCGTCCCGGAGTGTTTCTGAGGGGCTGAGAGGTGCTGATGACGCTGAGGCCCGAGGCCTGAGGCCCGAGAGTCGGCTCGAGTCGAATCTGGTTCAGCTTGGCTTCGACGGTTCTCACGGAGGTTCTCTGTGGCAACGCATCGGCCGGAGATGAGGCACCAAGGCTGCAACTCCCGTGCACAGGCCCAACTCTTGCTTTCTTCGCTCGGATCGCGGGAGCTGTCAGCAGGTCTCTCTTGTCTCCAACATCAAACCACTTAAGAAGCTAGACTTGGACTTAGCTGGACCCCATAGCCCTCGCATTTGCGCGGAGAACTGTGGAAATTCTCCGACAAGCACCACCATGAGAACTAGGCGTCGTACAGAAGCTCATGTCATGGAAAACTCTCAAACTACTCACAGCTGCTCGCGCCAAGCTGAACCTCTTGCACCGCCCAATCCCGAAGCTCTGACACTGCACCACACTCAAAGACTCAAACGACTGCAAAATGCTGCAAGAAAAGGCCCAGGCCCGCAGCCCTCTAGTCGGACGCCTCCTCCCACAGCCAACTAAACACACATCGGCATCCAAACTCTCTTCCGGACAACCCGAGATGATGCGACGAAGTCATGACAAACGTTCGGGGACACCGACGTCATGCTGCTGCCTCCTCCTCACCCTCCTCACCCTCTTCCCCTTCCTCTTCATAGCCTTCGGGGACCACCTGCAGAAACGAGCAGAAGATTCTGATCGCCCCAAGAAGCCCCGGGCAAGTCCGGCCTTGATCTCTATAACCGCAATGACTTCGGGGAGGAATTCGATGGTGCCCCGGTAAGTGCCGACTTTCGTGATCTGCGACGGCGCAAGCAAGCTAAACGTTCTAAGAATCCCTACGGACCGTAGGGACTGCTCTCAGATGGTTGATCCCTGTCTCGGTCTCTTGCCTGCCACACCCACTAGGAGTCTGACCCACCGACATCTGTTTAATCCCTAGAAGCGGTGGCCTTGGGGATCTGCACAGAGACTTGGCGCACAGGAACAGCTGTGGCCTTCACTATCTCCTGATCTCAGCGCACGGTGCGGAGAGACAAGACCGCAAAAATCTGGCCAGATAAGAAACTACGGATCGCTGGCCTCGGCAACGTTGATCTGGGAGAGTGATCCATAGATGTTTTCCTTATCCTCGCGAACCTTCTTCTCAAAGATGAACCTGCGAGCTCGATAAACGAGCATGCTGTGCTGCAATGCGCAGGACGACTTTCGTGAAGAAGCTGCGAAAGGAAACAGAGCATGAGCAGAGAGGCGCACGGCCCATGCTTCTCGATGGCATCTTTCTTCTTCAAAGCTTCCGCCAACCTAGTCTCCACTGCAAGGGTGAAAATAAAGACAGGCTGTGTTTTTTTCTGTGTCGCTTCTGTCTTTCTTTTCTGTGTCACCTGTGTCTTTTATTTCTTGCGAAACAACAGTCTCGAGCGCTAGCCGTCCACGGCAGGAAAAAAGTTTCCAGGGTTTGGGCCTTTTTTCATTAGGGTTTCGGTCTGGACTGACTCCTTTTAGGGCATCCCCTGGCTTTTGGGGTTTTGGGTGTTCTGTCAAGGAAAGGATGCCAGTCCTGTGCATGCCCTGGGTGGCCTCAGTCCGAAGCTGTCACAAGAGGCCTTGAAACAGGCAGAAGAGCCACACGGCACATCAATGTCATGAAGACAAAGGATGTCACAGCAAATTTCCTCGTCACGCATCAGCTCCACCACACTGGCCAGCATGGGAACGCCAGCCCTGCCCACATTGAGCGTAGCCATGTGCAGACTCACGAAGGCGAAGCAAGGCCTCCAATCATCTGGGCAGCACCATCCACGACCGCACAGCGTCTGGTCATCGACGCCATACTCGCGAACCTTGCCTTCTCACTCTTCCCACAGCTGGCTCAACTGTTCCTTGCGACGCTGAGCCGTAGCAGGTTAGCATCTTCGCACTTGTGTGCGCGCGCGACCTTTCTTCCCGAAAGGTCGGCATGCACTGAGCGCAATGCCAAGCCACATGGAAGTTGAGCCGAGGTTTGCCAAGACGTTTGACCATCCGAGGCCAGGTGAAAACCTCATAGCCCTTCATGTCCAGGTTGTGACTATCCGCTTTGCGAAGGCTCCAAGGCCCAGTGGCCCATGACAGTAGCACCATCAGTCATAGCACCGGCACGACATACCCTGCAGAAATCTTTCTTGCTGCAGTCGGGGTGTGCCTGCAACCGATGTTGATCCCGGGTGTAGGCAAAAGCATTGGCAAAGTAGCCCGAGCGACCACCACTGGTCACCAAGAGCAATGCCCAGAGGACACAGGGAGCACTGCCAATCAGCCGCGGCCTGTGTTTGCCAAGCTTCGTCAACGCAATGGTCCTGGATGCCTGGGTGGCCCGCCCGCACTGTCGCTGATCCTCCGGATGCCACCGCTGATGATGCTGATAATGAGCACAGCGCCGCCTGGCCAGTTCCAGAGCAGTTTTCGTCTGGGGGCAGTGAGCACACCGCTCCACAACAGTGCCATCTTTCTGGTATGCCGGGTTCAAAGTGGCACCGGGCTTACGATATGCGATCAACTTGGGCCTGTCACCTGAACCACCAGCCTCAGCATCCCCACCGACATCAGAAAGAAGCTCATCGTCATCCGCAGCCACATCACAAGGAGCATCGCCACGACCAGCCCAAGCGCCAGTAGCAGCCGCCAGTGAAAGCCAAGGAGCCTGTTTACGAAGAAGCCGCCACCACCGTCCGACCATTCATATTCATGCAGAAAGTAAGGAAGCGTCACCGCCGGTCACTGCCAAGTGAAGCACCAGAGGCACGCAACGCCGCGGAAGGATCATACCGAATCATACCAGCGAGAACGCTTGATAGGCCCAGCAGTGGCCGTAGGAGCACCGAGCACCCTGAGCATCACCACGATACGACTCATCAGGACGATCACCGCCAGGAAGAGAAGCAGAGAAGCACAAGCCGATAGCGAGCGGAGAATGTGCGCAGCGCCAGTGGCATCATCGGCAGCCGCCCCACCAGAACCAGCTCCAGGAAGAGAAGCACAATCGGACAAAGAAGTCAGTCGCTCAAAAGCGCGAGGAGGTACAGCGTGACGAGCAGCACCATCACCATCAGCCCCATCCGGAATCGAAGCACCCCTCGCCGTCACACGCACAATCCGAAAAGAACAACAGACAGCCCGGGCTGCTCCGGCACCCGGCGCATCAGAAGGAGTGCCGCCAAGAGGTGGCAACAAACGGGTAGCACCGGAGCACACTGTGGCACAATCCGACAGCGATGCACGTCCAGGCTTGCAAAAAAGATCACAATGAAGTCCACCTCCCTCAGCGTCCGGCTCCCACTGAATTGGTGCCTGGACAAGTTGGAGGTCGTCCTGCCGCACGGCCTTGAAACACCACTCGTTCTTACGCGAGGCCCGAAGTTTCGAAGTGATGGCAACCTGAAAGAAACCGATGGCCCCAAGCAGCTCCTCGACGTCACTGAATTGGTAATGACCAGGGACGCACGAGCACGCCAAAGAGCAGGCTGCGCCTTGAACTGAGGGTCCGACTGAAGCAGCCGAAGGCCAAGACCTCATCCTAGGACAAAACCATAACGAACCCCAGAAGCCACGTGCTTCAGCATCATAGGTTTCGTCCGATTGCCACAGGATCCAGTCGACGCGCTTGATGATGGCCGCTCTGCAGTCGCCAATAGTTTTGATCCAACACCCACGCCTCGCTGTCGTCAGAACCAGTGTCGGCCGCTCTGTCAGCGGTTGAGTGCTTGGCTTGGCTGCGTTCGCGCCGCCAACGTTTGCCACCCACAGCTGGAAGCAAAGACTCATCACGTTGCCTCGTCCTGGATGTCAGCCCATCGTCGTCGAATCGAGAAGTCTCTAAGGCCCCCGAGGCGTTGTATTCGAGCGCGAGGCCGGAGCATAATCAGATACGCTGTGGCCGGCTCGTGCCCCAGCAGCAGCATCGGCGTCCCACGACGAGGACCATGGAGAGGAAGAAGGGCCCTGCCAAGCAGACCAATCCGGACCGATAGCACGAGCCTGCCAGTCGTAGGAGCAACCACTCGCCTGGGAGCCACATAGGCACCGGCAGCCGAAGGCTCAACACTCACATGTCCATTCCAGTCGTCATCCTCATATTGCCACGACGCAACAGCACAGTCTTGGGCCCCATCGTCCCGCCAGCCTGACCAGTCAACAGTAATCACCGTCCGCATCATCACAAGCAGCGGGGCGAGAGTGCTGTCTAAAGGAAGAGTCATCGCCACCCCAAGCCGAAACCAGCTCTTTGATGATGTCAGTGCTGATCCTCTTCACATGGTTCTTGGTGATAGGTTTGGCTGGCTTGGGCACACCACCTTTGCGCCGCCTTTGTGCAGCCAGTCCACCAGGACCTGGGTGGCTGCCTCACCCACTCGCACCGCAGCAAACGGACCAAGGCGGGCACAGTCAGCACAGCACCAGCAAAGCGCCAAGCCGCACAGCCAGCGCAATCGTCTAGAAGAAAAGCCTCACATCGGGCCCCATGCCAATGTGTAAGATTAGCCCATCGTCTTGGACAAGCAGTGGTACCTGTCTCAAGCTGCACAGAAGAGCTAGCAAAGCCCCGCCCAAACCCGTACATGGCGACGCTACGCCACTGAAGCATGGCTGACGAGAGGCCAAGAGCTCATCGGCAAAAGCGTTTTCAAAGTCGTCCGCGCCATGGGGCTTGCCAAGATCAATAGGAAAAGGGGTGCCACCATGGAAGGTTCCAGAGCAGAACGGCTCGATGGGCAAACGCGCCGAGGCAAAGCATGGTCGCACCAAAGAGCACGCCCACACCAAAAGTCGTAGTGGCACCACGAAGAAGTGATCCAAGCAAGGCGCCCGCCATCCAAAGCCATGGCGCCGCAAGCGAAGAGAGGGAGCAGGGGCACTAGGCCGACCAGGGCCAGTGGAAGTGTCCCCGCGGGGATCTTGATCGCCCTCTTGGGTTTTGTATCCTTCACAAGTATCGCACAAATCTTTGCTCCGTAGGGTCTTCATCTTTCTTCTAGGTTCTCGGGTCCTGTCCCGCACAGGACTCATAGAGGCCTTTAGCAGCGTGCGAGAGGATCTAGCATGCCAAGCCCCGGAAGCAACACCACGACACTCCTACAGTCATCAGCTCTAGGCAGCCTCAGCCCACGCTGCCCAAGCATCCAACATAGATCTCGCCGATGAGGTCGACAAAGACTGGCGCCGATGCCGAGCCCAGCGCAAGCGCCTGCCACCAGCATTCTTGGCCGCAAAGGCCAGGCAGGATTTGAAAATTTAAAAAAACCGTGGGAAGGCACGCAACCCACTTCCTGCCACAGCTCTCTTGCTTCGCATTGTAATCGATCGCCGCGGGCCCACACGTGAAGAAGGGGGGCCAACCCACACGGGCCCACCCCCATACCGCGCCTTAGTAGCGCAGTCATCCAACGAAGCAGCCCAACACCAAGATGTAAGTCAAGCAAACCCTTTGCACCGAAGTCGCCCAGATAGACACCAAGGCGCCCAATGCCATCTCCACAGCCACCAGTGGAAATCGCCCAGCAGCGCTGGCAAGAGGTAGCTCGCCCCAAGGGGCCCAAGCGAGTGAGCGGCCACATGCTAGAAGCAATGACTGCTCATTCCGTCGCAGGTTTCGGCATTATTTCAAGCTTATCTTTTACTTCTTTTAGGGTTTCGGGGTCGCTTTACTCCGTTTAGGTTTTAGGGTTCGGCTTTGTTTCAAGCTTACCTTTTACTTCTTTACCCTAAACCCCAAACCCTAAACAACCCGAATGCAAGAAGGCCCCGAGCGAAAACGGAGTAAACGGACCCCGAAAGCCTGAAAGAAGCAACAGGTAAACTTGAAAGAAAACCGAAACCCTAAAAGTTAGGGGAAGCCCGAAAAGGAGTCAGACCGAAACCCTGATGAAAGAAGGCCCAAACCCGAAAAGCAGTAAACGTACCCCGAAACCCTAAGCGAAGTGAAAGGTAAGCTTGAAAGAAACCCGAAACCCTAAAAGGAGTAAACCCTGGCCGAAGCACGAGTAAAACGACACAGGTGACACAGAAAAGAATGATACGAGTGACACACAAAAAAAGAAAAGACACAAGTGACGCCCCTTCCGGCTCCCGACATGAGTTGGAGCAAAGCCGGAGAAAGACTAAGAGAATCCAGATAGCCTCTTGCATTCTTCAGAGCAGCACGCTGCGACTCTCTCCGGGTTCCGGGCTGCTTTGCGGCCTCCTTGCTTTTCAGCCTGGCCTCCTGATCGAGCCTGGACGGTTCATGTGTTATGGAACAGATGCTTGCAAACCGCACACATTATGCACATTCAGGCAACCCCACATGCTAAGTTCCCGGCTGCTTCATGATGCTGGCATCCTGCCTCTTGGCCACACCCTCGGGATAGAGGATGTTGCGGTAGTAGCCCTTCTTCACCTTCCAGCGGGCGTTGTCACGACCTGGCCTTCAGCCAAAGACGGCCCGTGACCGTCACAACGTCGCCCTTCTTGCCAAGCTTGGGATGGTCCTTCACTTAAAGAACCCAGGAAAGTGATTTCTGAGCGAAAGGCGAAAGGCCGGCCGGCCTGCAGCAGCACCACGGTGGGTTTCCACCTTCTGTACTTCTTCGGGATGTACTTTCCCGTTGCTGTGTATTTCTGATTGATGGTGCTGGCGAAGGCGTCGCCTGAGACCAGCGAGGGAGAGCTCTGCTCAATTCGGATAATTGTACCGCCGTCGACCAACCGACATCAATGTACGCACAACTACAGTAGCTTCTAGAATTGATCGTAGTTCGAAAAACGGAGAAGGGAGAGCATGGCCCAGCCAGGGAAACTGCGCCAATGCCACCCGACTATGGCCCAATGTCTGTCAAAGTACTTTACAACTAAATTGGCATCTGTGGTTTCCAATAATACTCGTTGGCACTGACTGATGTTACAGTTTCTCTTCTCTTCGTGATGCCCGTAAACACTATATGCACCTAAGGTTTCGAGCATGCTTTGAGATCACCGTGCACCTGAAAAGTGTACAAGTCCAGGTCTGCAAAGCTGTTTCACATTTGGTTCCCTGCCGTGCCACCACGGCGGACGAAGACTAAAAGTCTTGCAAAGCCAATGTTCTTGCGCGCAGATGTTCTTGTCTCCCGCATGCACCTCTTCGTATCTCTGTAGTTGAATGGGGAGGGATTGTTAAGGTCCCCGCTGTACAGGCTATTTTAGCCAGCTCGAAGACGCACTTCGTCGTCGTGCTGATGCGCACGGGGTTGGCGATCCGTCCTTGTATAAGATCTTCGGGGGTCTTCTTAGTTCTCCTCTCCGGACTTCGCTTATGTTTCGGCGGTTGTTTCCGCCCTTTTTCGTTTTTCCCACAAAGACCCTGTGGCTCATGGGATCTTAAGACGGGTTTAGCGCGATCCCCCTGTTATTTCTTCACTCGGTACGGTTGTGGCAATTTCCGCACTGCGAAGCCCGTTGTGCTGCTGCCCGCAACCTTGCTGCACCAGTCACCCGATCACACAGCTGTGCTTGTGGATAGAAGATGGCGCTGATGCGTCTTTCCTTTTAACACTCTGTCCCTTGCTGTGAGGCTCTTGACCTTTATCGCCTTTCCTTTTTTGGTTCGCCTTCGGGCATTAGGGTTTTTAATGCTCCCTTTAAGTGCCTCTCGGATCGCCAGGCGCGCCTGTTGATGGATTGCGCGCTTTGGCGGCTGCCTGGGTGTAGGCTCACTTTGTGCCTTAGGCCATCTACGGGTTTTGTGGAGTTCGAGCTCCCTGTGAGCACAGCACCATGCTCTCCAGGGCCAGACCGTCGGGCCGAGTTCTTCCAGGCGATTAGACGACAGCGACCGCCGACAGCGGCCGCAGGGTCGGTGTGGATTTCTGAGTTTGGAGAACTTGGACTTCACCAAGCCCGCTGCCCATACAGCACATGCAATGAGTTCGTGAGCTTGTCTTCGAGCACTGCCGTGGTCCTTCTTCGTATGCAACTGTGTTTTGCACCTCTTGGCGTCTGCGCCCCTCAAACTCTCGGGCCCTTTGATGGTGTGGGTGAATCCATCAAGTCTCAGCCTCGCCTTCTCCTTCAATTCCTATTCCCCCAGCCCGAACTCACCCTCCTTAAGCCTACGTCGTCTCTTCATACCTTCCAGGCAACAGCTCTAACATGTTATACAGTATACTAAGTATACAGTGTATTGCAGTGTGCTGCTGCCTGCTTTCCGACTGCACTCAGGCCACGGCCAGCGCTCGCAAGGAGCGAGCCGGCCAGGAAGGCGCCGAGGAGCGCTGCAAGGGAGGCGATGCCTCGGCAACGACCAAGGACGGACACACAAAGCAAAGCGGGGAATCTGCGGGAGATCTTTCTAGCCCTGTATACCCTACTAGTAGAACCTCGGCTCGGCCGCTGGCTCAGCACCCTGCGCGGTCGCATTCTCGGCGCCGCCTCGGGCTTGGATTCTGTTTCGAGTTTCGAAAGGAGCGCCGCGGTCTCGAGCCTTGGCCTCCAAGCCGAGATCGCCCTGGCATGGCAAATCGTAGGCTCTCACTCATGCGGACACCGTCTGCGGCCTCAGCCCACATGAGGGAGGCGCGGTCACTCCCCGTTTGAGCCGAGTCTACGAAAAGAACTCACCCCTTCGTCACCATGCCTGCATGACTCGTATGACCTCTTCGATCCACAAATCCATAATTGTTTCTGCTTTTGCTCCTGCAACAACGTGGGCCCTCACTTGTTGCAGGTACCGCACAATGCGACGGTGCTCGATGCCGCTGAGGCCGTGTAACCGCCTCGGGCACTGTCCGCGTCCTGTCTTGTCACCCTGAGCGCTTGGTCTTCGAATCTTGCAAGTCCGTCGTAGGATGCTGGCACGACTTCTGCGGTGACAGCCTGCACCGCGTTCTCGCTCGGTTTCAGTCTACTCTCCGACAAGTATGGGATAATCCCAGACCGTCAGGATTGACGCAAGAAGCGCAGACAAGTGAGGGAGTCCAGAGATGCCGAGATGTGTGCATAAAAAAGATGGTGATAGTTAAGGTGCGAGAGCGGTTGAGGGTGACAGTCAGGGCGACGGTGAGAGTCAGGGTGAGGGTGTAATGAGGGTGAGGACGAGAGTCCCGGACAAAGACATGCTGCACGGCAGGCCTACACTCCAACATGCACTCACATTGCGCATGCCATGCTTAGACGGAATGCCTCCAAGTCTGTGTCCTCTGCCACGGTGAAGGGGACGGTCACGCCGCCCCCAACATCCATGTCTACCTGCACTAGCATCCATGTGCTAAAGAGCAGAGATGAGCTACTCAGAAAGCTCATGGTGAGATGACTGTGCACAAACTCCCATCAGGGCCAATCGTGCTTTTCTTCGTTGAGCAGACACGACGTTAAGAGGCTCTTTCGCCAGACACTGCGCCGGCCGGGCTCTTCGAGCTCCAGCTCACGAGCCGAGCTCGGCTCCAAGACCTGGACTGCAATGGGCTTCGGCGCGGTTGCCACCTGATCAAGCGTTTGTTTTTGGACGAGAAGGCACAGTGCAAATCATCCCGAACACCGGCACAAGTGTCTTTATCCGTTCTGCGACTTCCAGCTTGCCTTTACATGGAAGACTTTCAAACCGGGGGCCGTGGAGTCCCGCTTGTGGGCTACAGGCCGCTCGGCATCATGGAGACCAAGCGAGGTCTCTGGAAGCAGCGAGGTTGCAGCTCGTCGCAGTCCTCAGATAGCCTCAGTAACCTGCTCCCCCACAGAACTCGGGTGGTGCCATGAGCAGACCTAGATTCAGAGGGTCACAGCGTCGTCAAGAGGCTGACCCACTATAGACGCTCTCGCCTATGTGGCTGCGTCGGGAGGCAGTCATGCTATTTGCAATCATGCCTTTGGATAAAAAGTCGAATTCAACTTTAAGAGCACATCAAGCGTGCCCATGAAGTCAAGTTTACGCTAGGAGGCATCTTCAAAAAGATGCCTACTGCGTCAAGTTCCTTGCAAAGCCAGCCAGAGTGCAAAGCGATCCAAATCACGGCCGTGGCCCAAAATCATATCACTGCTAGCTTTACGCTTTTGCATCGCTTGAATGCTGGCTGCTACTAAATTCCCCGCCCATCAGTGGACATGCCTTGTCACGGAGATCGAAGCTTTGAACCAATTGGATTGTGAGATCACGGCCCTTGCCCTCGCCTTGAGCACGCCTTTAAAGCACTGGCGGCCCCACCCACATGGAAAACCTCGGAGATTTCACTTCGAAGGAAGAGGCTCAGCAAAGGAGAGATTTGGTAGTAGCAAGTTGCAGGGAAGCTGGAACTCTGGGCCCTTTCGCCTTTTTCGATCACTGCAGCAGCCTGGCATGAGGTGCCAGGCTGGTCTGAAGACATCGATGCGAGGCTAGTGAGACCTGCAGATGGGACCTTTCAGTTTCTGTTTGCATCTGCGGACTAAGTATGTAGGAGTTGAGGGCACAAGAAACCAACATGGCAAGACGCCACGTGCAGGACACCACCTCTCCATCACTATCAGCGGCGTAGGCATCATCTACGGTACAGCCATGCCACTCCGGAGTGCGGCTTTCTTTGAAGAACTACTTGAAAATTGCATGCAGGTCCTTCCGGAGTCGAAGCAGCTTTTTTCTCTTGCATCGGCAAACAGGGAAAAATAGTCACGAGAACCCAGGACCCACACTTTAACAAACAGTCCGTGCATGAGCATGTCGCCTACGCATCATCCAGTGCAGCCACGCCGGGGAGGAGCTTGCCCTCCAAAAGCTCCAGGGATGCACCGCCACCAGTGCTGCAGTGAGAGACCTTGTCAACAGTGTCATACTTCTTGCAGGCGGTGGCGGTGTCGCCACCACCGATCACGGAGACGGCGCCGTCCTTCGTGACCGACACGATGGTCTCCATCATCTGCTTCGTCCCCTTTTCGAAAGCCTGGCAACCGAAAATCTGTGGGAGTACCGAAACGGTAGAGTCGGGTAGAGATGCCAAATATCACCCAGAAGTTCTTAAACTAGGAATCAGGAGGGCCCCGGTCTGCCTCCATCTCGAAGACACCCATCGGACCGTTCCAGACGATCGTCTTGGACTTCTTGATGGCCTGCAGCTGAAAGTGGCGTAGCTGGGCTGTGTCTAGCAAACATCCCGGCTTCTCTCTGAACTGTGTCAGGACTCGGTAGATTCAGGGAGACATGGGTAGCAGTCGGTTCGAATAACGTCGGACACTACAAGAGAAACACCTCGCCTCGTCGTTCATTTCGATGGACTTGGGGCCAATGTCGAGGCCCAGGAAGCCCTCGGGAACCCCGGTGCTCATGTCACCTTCCTGGATCTCTCCGTCATCCCCGAACTTGGAGGAGCACACGAAGTCCACCGGCAAAATGAGCTCCACGCCCTTCTCCTCGGCCTTCTTCCTGGGCTATCTCTATCTCTTTCTTTCGTCAGGGTTAGGGACTAGGGGGTTTCCCC